GAAAAAAAAAAAAAAAAACTGAACAAAAATTGCTAAAACACTTGCCCAGAGTTTACAAATAGTTTCTGTACAACATGTTTAGGAATTAGGAAAAATTATGGCATTGCGCTATCGTGCTAGACTACCAACTACCACGGGCAGAAGTTTGATAACTGGCTTACAACCAGCCAGGACTTACCTATGTTTGAGTCTAAAGGTACTTTTCCTAGCAAGGGAATGTTAAGATCACTACACATTTTCTCTGCACCACCAGTAGTTGGTGGAAAGACCTGGGATTCATTCTAAAACAGAAACATTAAAAAAAAATATTATAACCAAATGGTTTACATTAAACAATCTAGTACAGTAAGCAGTAACGTGTTGGTAGGAGACACTTGCATCACTGGAGGATGGTTCTCACTGCTTTTTTTCTCCACAGCTGTCAATGCGTGTCATTTTTCTCTATAAAAATCCTGTGCTCGGAAGTGCTCATTATTACACCTTAGTTACCTCTGACTTGTCTTGACTGTTACAAGACATGCTTGAGTCTGTTGCATTCCTTGCAATTATTCTATGCATGGCCACCCCTATTCAACTGTATAATCTTACACACTCGCTCTGGTGCTTGATCCATTGCCTGGAATGTTTAACACATTTTAGATAAGCTACAGAGTGGAGCAGAGCTACGTTACTGGAGCTGAAAAGAAGGGCTGAACTGCGCGTTGTGGAGTAGAAGCTGACATTCTGCCCCTGTTTTTTCAGTGCTACTTCACATGATTGTCATACAGTACATAAAAATAACATAGGTCAGTATATGATTAATTTTGTAGTAGCAAAACAAATGTCTGAATAGTAGAATAACATATCATTTAAAAGGTGACCCTGTTGCGATACAAAAATTTCCCAGGGAAGGCATACTTGTAAAAGAAGAGTAAATACTTACCACATGTCCATGCCACAGAATTTCAAAAAGTCTTCTGGGAAAACAACCCCTTACAGCAACATCAATCTCATTGGTCTCCCTCGGGTCTCACTGGTTCCTTCTGTCGACCTCTACATCATTACAAGTAACAGTAGTAATATGGAGCTCAGCAAGAGGAAATAGTGAGAGCTGCAGAAGACCCAGGAGATGTACACTTCTGAAGGTGTGGGTTTACCATTAGACTTCAAGGGACTATTTCTACAGCAGAGTTAAGTAGTCATTCTCTTTTTTTCACAGGTAAAAGCTTAATATGAGATTTTAGATCTCTGACAGGGTCACTTTATTATACTTTCTTAAATTTATTGATTATCCAATCCTACTGCACATGAAATTCCATTATGGCAATATTATATATTTGAAATCTTTATAGGTATGAACAAAAACAAGACAGGAAATGTAACTACTTTAGTACCGGGAACAAAGTAAAAGCAATAAAGTGCCACAAACTATCACTCCTCAATGGGAAATCCTCTTCGGCATGCTGCAGGATGCTGCCCCAAAGAAGCCTTGAAAGCTGTGGAATCTAGAAAGTAAGCACAAAGGGGGCACCTTTCCTGGTGCAGGTCAATTTTATTTCAATAATCATATGGTAAAAACAGAAAGGTACTCACAAACATGAGTGTCAAACAGCCATGGAATGAAAGCTGACAAAGCAGTTAGACAACCACTGGGCAATTCCTGTGTGCTAGTGACTTTAACTCGTTTCCGGGGCACGCCTCCTTCATCATCTCCAACTTTAAAGTGCATGTGGCCAATCAGGGATGAGCCCTAGAGGCTTGTCACGATGTTAGCACTATCGCGGCCGTGGCTGGTGTCCGTCTGGGGAACCATGTTGAGGCGGAATGACGCGACCAGCCAATAGGAACTGAAACAAATCGGGCTCCGCCTACTGGGTGTCACCGCCACTCGACCTATCACAGTACCCGAAAACTAAGTCCAAAGCCGGCAAAGTATCAACAAACAACAGTTGCTGACTGCAGATAGCACTATGGGAACACAGTCCCCTGGAAAAGATGGATAAAAGGAAGTTGAACTTAATAGCTGATAGCCACCACATATATGTGAACACAAGCAGCCATGTGTTATGTATATAATGAGGGAGTAGGACCCTGTGGGTAGCCACATATGAGTAAAATAGAGCCTGTGCCAAGACAAAATAAAAACAAGGACAAATGAAGATAAAATTGACAAATAGTGTTGAAACCAACGCAAAGCTTACATGTGTGTGGGGGTTTGATTAGAGGGTATGGCAAAAGCAGAACACTGGGAGTAGCTGTATGGGTTGTAACAGGTGGAAGTAGTGGGACGCCCTCTATGTCTAAAGGGACACATGTGACATAGAGGGACTGTCAAAACCGCAGGGGAGGGAGGGGTGGAGAGAACCAGACGAACATCCATATTGGAGGGTTATAGGGAAGACACCAACTCTAGGCCCTCGTTAAGACCACTAGGGTATAGGCTGTTCAAAGAGTAAATCCAAAAGGTCTCTCTCCGACATAATCTTTTGTATCTCGTGCCTTCATCTAGATTGTCTGGTATCATCTGTATGCCAAATACCTTAAGTCCCTCAGGATTAGAACTATCGGCCTCCAAAAAATGTCTGGGCACTGAGTGATCGTCTGCTTTTTTTAGGATCTTTCTCTTGTGCTCTCCAAACCTAGTTCTCAGGGTTCTGATCGTACGACCCACATATAAATTTACCGCAGGGGCAAATAATGCCATAGATAACAAACTGTGATGCACAGTTGATGAACTGCTTAATGGGAAAACTTTTTCCCCCTAGATGGGAGATTTCCTTTTTTCTGTGCCAGAGAAGCGAGCATGTTCCACAGTTGTGTACATTACACTTGAAACATCCTGTTTGGCCAAAAATACCTTTACCAGAATTCAATGTTTTATTGGACTTGAGTCTGCTAGGGGCTATCTTGCTGCGGAGGTCTTTGGGTTTTTTGAAGATGACCTTAGGAAAACTTGGGAGAGAGTTCTTCAAAACGGGTCTTCTCTCAGGATGCGCCAGTGATTTTTCAGTATTTTGGAGATCTGAAAGGCCCCATCGTTGAATTGGGTACAAAAACTGATATTATAAGAGTCTCTGCTGCTGTGTGCTTTCTTAGAGGTAGGGACCCGGTTTTGTCAAAGGACTTCTTAATCAGATTGGTGTAATATCCCTTGTCCAAAAACTTTTTTGTTAAGATGCCACCTAGAGCCTCATAGTCTGAATCAGAGGTACATGTTCGCCTAATCCTACCAAACTGCCCATCGGGAACATTCCTAATTCATCTGGGGTGATGGTTACTCTTAAGTAAGTAAGAATTGCCCGCCGAGGGTTTAAAGTGAGTTTTGGAGGTGATCCCTACCATGTCGTCGGCTCCTAATTCAAGGTCTAAAAAGACATCCTAATTCAAGGTCTAAAAAGACGTAAAGTCTAGATGAAAGGGATTGTTCTTACAGTAGTTCACAACGGCAGAGAATTCTATGGCGGTGCCGTCCCAGTTGATGAGGATGTCGTCGATATATCTGGCAAACAGGACTAGGTTAGATCCAAACGGGTTATTAGACCAGATATGAAACTCTTCCCAATACCCCATAAGCAAGTTTGCATATGAAGGAGCAAAACTTGCACCCATAGCAGTACCCTTTAGTTGAATATAATGGGTGTCTAAGAACGAGAAATAATTGTGTGTCAGCACAAACTCTATGGACTCCAGGATTAAGTTGGCTTGGGAAGAATTAAAATTCCCAGACTTGGCCATGAAGTGCTGGACTGCTCTGAGACCGAACTGATGTTCAATGGAGGTATAGAGGGAAGCTACAGCCAAAGATGCCCATAGGTAGCCTCCTACGTCAGAGATTCTAGGTACATTCTGGAAATCCTAAAACAGTACCAGTGGAGAGAAGGCTACCTATGGGCATCTTTGGATGTAGCTTCCCTCTATAGAGCACAGGCTCTATTTTACTCATATGTGGCTACCCACAGGGTCCTACTCCCTCATTATATACATATATTTATGTACATTATATATATATATATTTGTTGACACTTTGCCGGCTTCGGACTTAAGAGCCGGTCCCGTTTTCGGGTACTGTGATAGGTCAAGTGGCGGAGACACCCAGTAGGCGGAGCCCAATTTGTTTCGGTTCCTATTGGCTGGTCGCGTCATTCCGCCTCAACATGGTTCCCCAGACGGACACCAGCCACGGCCGCGATAGTGCTAACATCGTGACAAGCCTCTAGGGCTCATCCCTGAATGGCCACATGCATTTTAAAGTTGGAGATGAGGAAGGTGACGTTATGTTCTGATGAAGGGGGCGTGCCCCGGAAACGAGTTAACGTCACAAGCACACAGGAATTGCCCAGTGGTTGTCTAACTGCTTGTCAGCTTTCATTCCATGGCTGTTTGACACTCATGTTTGTGAGTACCTTTCTGTTTTTACCATACGATTATTGAAATAAAATTGACATGCACCTGGAAAGGCTCCCCCTTTGTGCTTACTTTAGTACCGGGGTATGTATATAAGTGGTTATAAAGCTGGAGCATCAGCTTCTATCTTCAGCTTGTATGGGTAAGCTTTGAAAATGAAAGCTAGAAGCCGACTGGTTGCCATGCACAGCTGCTCTAGATTCTGTCTGCTACAGTCTTATGCTGGGCACACACCTTACAACCATCGTAAGACTTTTGTCTTGCGATGGTTGTAAGTTAATTAAAAAACGTACGATCTGCCCATCTTGGACAGGCAGATCGTACTTGCGATGATCACAAGCCCGCCCCGCTGAGGGGTGGGCTTCCGATGACGGCAATGCCGTCATCTTACGAACATGCTACACACCCGCCGAAACTCATACGATTCTCAGCGGGTTTTCGAACATGTACGTAAGATAAAAGTCATGCGACCTTACAGTAGTAGAGGTCGTACGACTTTCACACACCTTACGATAATCGTACGATCGCGGGATTTTCCCGCGATTATCGTACGGTTATCGCAAGGTGTGTGGGCACCTTTAGTAAATTCCCCTCCATGTGTTCCTTTGAAACTTACCTTGCAATTAGGGCATATAAAACCACTCATATTCTCTACAACTCCTATTATTGGTAATTTCACTTTCCGACAGAAGTTGACTTCTTTTCGTACATCCTGCAAGGACACTTCCTGTTAAGCAATGAATGAAAAAAGGTCTGTTATTTTTATTACTTAGCTGCACCACAATCTGTATCTAAAAGTTGCCCCCCCCCACCCCCGTGTTTTTTTTAATTCTGTAAAAAAATATAAAATAATGATGGACACACTTACAGGTCCAGAATAGTTTAAATGGGCTTCCATAATCATCGGGAGCCATTTAAAGCAAACTGCATGCTTAAAGTGTAATTCCACTGTTCCAGCCAATTTGGGACAAAGCCTATTTTAGAATTCTTCCATGTTCATAAGCGAAATGCTTCTTGCAGTTTATATTGTTTTTACTTGCTAAAACTTCTACCTGGCTCTCCTGTTAGGAGTGGCTGTGAGGAGTTTGTGTTAATGCTATGTATAGTATGCTGGTTCATTTCATTATAATTTGTAAAGTAGTTTTGAACACTGCCTGTCATAATAAAGGGTTAAAAGCCTGGCTTCTTCATTGTATGTTAATGAGAGATTTACACATTCCAAATATTTCTGTACTCAGTCTTTCTAGAAGGACAGGTCACTGTAAAAGGTGCTCAGAAATACATATATTCAGACATTTTCCTTGCTGCAACAAAGCAGCTAAAAAAGGTAAGATTTTTTTTTTTTTAAATTATTATTTTGGTATGTCGTGTGATTGAGAAAACATAACCAACATATAAAAAGGGGTTTCTCAAATGTGACTGCAAAAGTGGAAATATGCTTTAAAAACCATTAAAAAAATAATTTTGCATTGAGTACATTGACTTTAATGCATTAAAGCAAAATGGCGAAATTTTGTCAAAACATCCTGATTTTCACAGAAATTTGACTGAAATAAAAACCCTCACTTTAACTAATGTCTACTAAACAGTGTGTTGAATATACAGCATGACACTTGCCTGAGGAGTAGTGACAATTACTGCACCATCAATGTGAGCCCCACTAAGATACTGCACTACCGAGAGGTGTTCATCAGAAGTACCAGGAGGGGTATCCACAATCAGGTAATCAACTTCACCCCAGTCTACATCTCGCAGGAACTGTTTAATCATACCTACAGGATTAAAATAATATTTTCTTTTACAAAAGGGACAATCAAACAGAACATCACTCTTCTACTTTTTTTTGGGCAGCAGTCTCCTGATGTCAATGTGAAACATGGTAGCTTAGAGGTTAGAAATCCTGCCTTGAAAGCTTAGAATCCTACCAGGGTGAAATCGGAATGGAATTTTTGTTGTTCCCTTGTTTGCATTGGTTTCTACCAGTTATAGTAATTACTTGGCAAACCCCCCAAAATAATCTGTTTAATTGAATAAATTGGCATGAGCATGGTTGGGACAGCAGACTGTTAGTTTCTTTGGTTGGGGGAAGCAGAAGTGACTCTGTAAATTTAAAGATATGACAGAGCAATATAAAGTGATAAATAATAAAATACACCTAAAATGTACTTGGTGAAAGTGAGATACACAAAACAAATGTACTATATGTGTATTGTGATAAAATGCACAGATCTTTAGAAGGACCTGAATAGGAGTTCTGAATTTTCTCAAACTTTACATTTAAACACACACACAGATCTATCTTTTTTTTGTTTAATATATTTTTTATTGTATTTAAATTGAATATACTTTACATAATACATTCCATAAAAAAAAGACATTCTATGGGGAAAAAAAAACACCTAATGATATAACATACCAATCCCTTGCATGCACTCCTATCATTCAACTCTACTTCCGCTCTACCCCATCATTCAAACCTATTTTCCGGATCCACCTCTGGAGGAATGAGAGAAGGACAGACTCTATATACCTTCCGTACCAATTCTACCCCCAACCTAAACTCCATGTTAACCCTTCTCCATCCCCCTCCCCACCCCCTACCTTTACCTCCCTTCTGTCTAGTAACTTCCTCATGTCAACCAACACACACAAAAAAAAAACCCCCATAAACCGTGCTCCAGTTACTGTGCTACTCCCACTTCTCTAATCTATCCTCCCTATCTATAATTGTGCTCCTATTTTATATCCTATTCTACTTGTGATGTCAGTAGTCCTCAAATCTAATTACCATAGACCACCCTTTTGTACTTCCCCTCCTCAATGTTACCCTTTCAAATTCTCCCACTGTATATTCCCTCCCTTTCTATCCTTCATTCCTCCTGTCCTCTTCTCCCATTCCTCCTGGAGGCATTCATCCCTCCTTCCTATTCTATTCTACCACTCATACATATCAGGATCTTAACTTTTTATCTTAAACATCTATCCAGAAGTCCTAGCTTTGCCCTAGGCCATTTATTCATTACCCCACTATGGAGTCATAGTTTCAACCTTTCTATATCCCTTTTCGCTGCTCTATCCTTCTCTTAACTCCTTCATAAATTCCTTTGTCTGCGTATATATTTCCCATTTTTTCCCGATCTTATGAAAAAACTCTCCTTTTTATCTAAATCATTTGCCCTTAATTCCTCCATATATCTTATTTCCTCCATTGTACTAACCCAGTTCTCTAAGGTAGGTGGTACTGTAGATCTCCATCCCCGCGATACACAAACTCTAGCTGCCACCAGTACGAATCTTAGGATATCGCTTTTTATCTTTTTTAGAGATCCAGGTATCAATGACAATAACGCCATTAAGGGATCTTTTTCAACATTTTCTGCCTCTATGGCGTTATATAATCTAAATACAGATTCCCAGAACGGTTGCAATCTAGGACAGCTCCATCAGATATGCAGGTACGTCCCCTCTTCCATAGTACATCTCCAACATCTATCAGATAAATCTGGATTTATATGTTTAATTCCTTCTGGGCACCTGTACCATCTGGATATTATTTTATATTTTTTTTTCTTGGTGAAAAGAAGATGTATGTGTCATATTAAATATTCTTCCCCACTCTTTGTCTGATATCTCTCTCCTTCCCATCTTTTCATATACTTAATATGTCATTTATCTTCTTCTACCCTCATTATATACACCACTGATAGTGTGGGCAACTGGTGTTTCTGATACGCACATTCTCTCAAATGGGGTAAATGTCCTATTGAGAGTTTTACCTGTCCTAAGGTGTCTAATATAATCTGTTAGCTGTACTGCCTCCATCCATAACTTCCCATTAGTTTGTCTCTCTGGTCTTGGATCCATTTTCAATTCTTCTCTACCTGGTTCTAATACTTGCCATACCTGTGTATGTGGAGTATTAACCTTACTTAGTAGTGAGATTGCCTGCATACCTGGCGGAAATTGTGGATTACCCAAAATGGGAGTCAAGGGTCCCGGCCTAGATGAGAGATTATATTTAGTTGCATACCTATCCCATATTTGTAGCACCGGTTGTACTAAGAAAGGCAAGGTTGACATATGTGGTCTACTTTCCACTGATAACCAGGGGAGATTCCTCAGGGGTACTGGGGAAATATCCGCTTCCAATTTTACTACTCCTTTGTCTTGATTCCTATTTATCCAGTCCAATAATCTAGATATTAGGATCGCTTTATGATAGAGTGCAAAATCTGGGATTCCCAACCCCCCTCTTTGTTTTGATCTCATCAGAACTTTTACACTTATTCTAGGGGTTTTATTTGACCATACAAATTTCATTGCTGCCGATTTTATTTTCCGAAAGAAAGATTCTGGTAAAGAAATAGGAATTGTCTGGAGTCTGTATAGTATTTGAGGGAGAATATCCGTTTTTAGGACATTTACTATCCATGTCAGTCGAAGACTATTCCATGTATAGAATTGGGCAAAAATATTATCAATCCAATCTCTAAAATTAATAGCATATATTGTGTTAAGTTCTTTAGGAATATTAACCCCCAGATATACGATGTAATCAGCCTGCCATCTAAATGGGTAGTTATCCTTTATATTAATTTTTACTTTGTCAGAGATATATTTAAAATTCAGATTTAGATAGGTTTATTTGGAAATTACTCAGATCACCGTAGTTCTTCAGTTCTTTAAGAATATTAGGTATCGATGTTATTGGGGAACTTATTAGGAGAAGTAGATCATCTGCATATAATGCTAGTTTATGTTGTTGCGTTAAGGTGGGCAGACCTTTGATCGAAGGATTCTTCCTAATAGTTGCCGCTAGTTGTTACATTGCTATAACATATAATAAGGGTGAGAGGGGGCATCCCTGCCTGGTGCCATTTAATATTGGGAAGGGGCGGACAAATTCCCATTAACTCTAACCCTTGCGTTTGGGTGTGTGTACAATGCCATCACTTTAGATAAAAAAAATTCTCCCACTCCCATTTGTATTAAGGATTCTCTGAGAAATGTCCAATTTATTCTATCAAATGCTTTTTCAGCATCAATTGACAGAAGACACAGTGGTATATTTCTCTTTTGTGCTAGTTCTATTAGATTAATTACCCTGGTGGTGCTATCTCTAGCTTCCTGTCTCTGCACAAATCCAGTTTGATCTAAGTGGATAATTTTGGGCAATACCTTTTTTAGCCTGCTGGCCAACACTTTTGCATACATTTTTAGATCTATGTTTATAAGAGAAATTGGACGATAATGGCCACATTCTGTTAGATCTCTCCCAGGTTTTGGAAGCACAGATGTGTGCCTCCATTGTCTGTGTTGGGAATGGGCTACTTTCTGTAACTGAATTACATGCTTTTGTAAAGAAAGGGCCCAATAATCCCTCAAACTGTTTGTAAAATCGAGCTGTAAACCCATCTGGGCCAGGTGCTTTTTTTTTTGTAGTGAGGAAATTGCCTCCTTTATTTCTTTTTCTAAAAATGGCACACTCAGCCCTTCACCATCCTCCGAATTCAAAGCTGGCACGTTTGCCCCCCCTATATATTCCCTCACTTTATTTACAAAATTATCCCTTGACACATCGGCATATTTACCTCTTAGTGAGTATAGGTATGCATAATATTTTCGGAAAGCTTCTATTATCTAGGATGGGGAATGCTGCATGTTCCCACCTCCATCTTTAATTCGTACTATATTAGTGTTGGATGCCCTTGCATGGATTTACTTGGCCAGCAACTTGCCACATTTTTCTCCCTCCTCATAATATCTTTTTTTACCTTTATCTCTAGCGATCAACGATTGTTGGTCCAAGTCCATTTTATTTTTAATCTAGATATTAGGATCGCTTTATGATAGAGTGCAAAATCTGGGATTCCCAAACCCCCTCTTTGTTTTGATCTCATCAGAACTTTTGCACTTATTCTAGGGGTTTTATTTGCCCATACAAATTTAATTGCTGCCATTACCATACTTGTGCCCATTCCAAACTGTTGAAATCTATTAAGTACCCATATACAAAACCTGTTGACCCTTATTTGGTGCATATATATTTGCAAGTGAATATATTTGGTTAAAATAAAGAAATGTCAAAAATACATATCTCCCTTTTTCATCTATAACTGTGTCCTTTACTTCTATTTGTGTATTTTTATGAATCCCTATTGATACCCCCTTTGCTTTCCTTTCCGGATTTGTGCTGTAAATCCACTTTGTGTAGTTTTTATCCTTAATGTGTCTCTTGTAAACATAAAATATCTATTCTTTTTTTGTGAAAATGGTACAGAACCTGGGATCGTTTTTCTGGTACATTAAATGTTACCAATGTTAGCCTATTCATTTATAATTTGCTTGTCGCCTCGGATACATTAAGCGTAAGACCTGATTGTTACATTCATACTTCCTTACTTTACTTTCACCATAGCATTCCTCCACATTTATTCAATTATTATGTTCTTGCGTGTAGGACATTTTCCTTAACCTCCTACACATATCATAGTTACATAGTTACATAGTTACATAGTATTTGAGGTTGAATAAAGACAACAAGGGCAAGATTGTGGGGAGTGACCAAAGCCGGGAGAGAGGACGGGGGTGGTCAGAGAGGCGATATGGAGCGGTACCGGGAGACGGTCTGCTCCGTAGCGTATCGGGCTTGTGGGCGGAGTCGCGGCCGGTGTCCTACGTCATCCGCTCGTCACTTCCCCTCCCTCTACTCAGAGCAGAACTATCTAATATTAATATTATATCTTGACTATATGATCAACATCCCTATTCAGACACCAGCAGATGCTGGGCCTTTTGTTTTCTCTGGTTGGTTCATTAGTCTTGCATGACTCTGTGGTACACCTGTGAATACCTGCTGATGTCACATTAATTTAGTACCAAGTATTTAATGTTGAGCCATGGAAGGTTTAAACAGACATTAAGGCCTTGTTCACACCAAGCGCAGAGCAGGTGCAGAGCAGATCAGTTGCAGACCGGATCAAAACTGCGTCCAATGTATTCCAATGGTATTTTTTGCTCCAGTTCACATCGCAGCGTGCAGTTCCAGTGCAGGTGAAAAAACTGCAGCAGGCCCTATTTTACCTGCTCTGGATTTGCAAATGCATCAAGAACGCATGCAAATGCCTGAAACGCACTGAAAGCCCATTTTAAACTTAAAATTTGTTAATTTTTTTTAGCCAAAAACGCGTCAATAACGCATCAAAAAGACTAGCGTGCGTGTGCAGAAACCTGAACGGATCTGCTCTGCATTTGGTGTGAACAAGGCCTAAGACAAATCTTCCTGTGTTTAACCCTTTCGCTGCCAAGGACGTACGTCGTACGGAGCTGCAAAAGTGCTTCAGAAAAAATTGTAGAAAATTCAAAAATGGCTTGGCCATCTGATTTGAAAAATGTTCCGGAGGGCTTGGCAGCGAAAGGGTTAATAATGGTTGCTTGTTTTGATATCCTTAACCCAAATACTGAAAATGAGTATTGCAGCAAAAGTTTATTTTTTATTTTAAATACCGCTGACTTCTAGTTTTTTTAAGATTAAAACATTTTTTAAAGTTCTACTTGAATTTAGATTCTTATTTTACGAGTCATGCTGGTCACTACGAAATACATCTCATGTGACCTCTGTATCTACTGAAATGCGGATTTTTTTTTAAAAAAGCCCCTTAGGATAGCTATAGACAAGCCCATAGACTCTGCCCATTCTGGCTTAAATTTCCACACTTGTTGGGACCCAGCAAGATTTTCTGAAGCTTCTTGCCAACAGATGTAAAATGCAGGGAGACAAAATGTTTGTCCCTTTCTTCACAGAAAAATGTATACTATTAATCTGTTCAGCCAAAGTTCGCTTTGTGTTTACACAACTTAACCCCTTCACTGCCACCGACGTACATCATGCATCGGCAGCAACGAGCAGTTGTAAAATAGACTATAGCCACCGGGAGTCCGTTTACCCCCCGCCGCTGCCGATATACTTCACTTTGTTGCCCAAGCTTTGCTAGGCCTGGGGCTGTCATTGTGGGTGCTGGCGAGTAGAGGGGAGAGAGACCAGCGAACATCCATTCGCTGATCTCCATCCCGCTGAATGAAACCGGAAGCAACAATGATTTCATCACTTTCAGGTGGTCATTCCCTGGCTAGAAAGCCTGGGGAAGGTGATCGCAAGCACGCGTTGGGTGCACCTACGCACTAAAACTACTATTATGCCACAAATGTTAGGTATTGCCGCGTACACCAGAGAGCAATAATTCTAAGGCTATTATTCTCGGTTAACTCTAAATTGATGACCTGAATTGCCTATGGGCAATTTCGGGTACTGTTATTTTAAACGTTTCACGTGCACAATTTGTAAGATTGGCATGTTGGGTATCTATTTACTCTGCACAACCTCCTCTTTTATATTTTACAAATATTGTGTATAATATTGTATTTCTGTGCGCTAACATTAACTATTGTAAGTTCATCCGTGCGGTCTCCTGTAGTGTATGTAATGTATGAAGTGTGTTGAAGTGAAGTCGCCTGTCGCTTATATTCCAAAATCGACGTTAATGATTGGTCTATCCTATAAGGTCATAACTTATTTCTGACGTCACGACTACTATACTTTCTTTATATGGCTTTACGAAAACCACTTTAGTCATCTAGATTTCTAAACGTCATTCTACAACTCTATTTTGAATAAGGACAGCCTTCTATTTACATGACATGTTTCGAACAGCTGCTTAACTCTTTCAGATAGTTCTGTACAAATTCTGACATAGCTCAGGTTTCAAGGACAGTGGATGTATGTTCAAAGTCATTCATTCATAAGCACGAGGTCTGTAAATAAATGTGCATGGGCCCATTCTACAATTTCCTTTAAGCCAAATCAAATTTGAATCTAAGTATTTTACATTGGGTTTGGTAAACAGTTGCGCTAATATCATTGTGGCATAAAAATGTGCAACTGCCACCATTTTGTTCTACAGGATCTCTGCTTTCAGGAAATAAATAATTCTGGGGAGTTTTAGTAATGCTCAGGCCTATAATGTGGATTTTACCATGTGTGAACAAAACGCAAAAACTCCTCTGGCAGCGAAACGGTTAAATCCCTGTAATGATGTGCTCATATTTTAATTTAGCAAATTCATATTGCAACTAATACAAACCATTCTTCTTAGGACCCCTCCATATTACTGCATCATCTGGGCTACCAAGCAAGAATCCAACAGACATCACAGCAAGATTGTCTTCTACATACTGAAATATAAAAGGAAACCTTTTCAAGAAATATAGTATTAAAGCATCACTTTCTGACACTCCAGTCCGGTGAGACACCTGCATATGCTGCCCTCTGCACTCCTTTTCTTCATGTAAATGTAATTATACCTCTCTCCTACACATACTGCATGCTTTCATACCCTGAGCACCCCTCTCCTACGCATACTGCATGCTTTAATGCCCTCTGCACTCCGCTTCTGCACATATTGCCAGCTGTCATACCCTCTGCATTTCTTTCCTAGACATACTGTTTTCTGTCATATCCTTCGCACTTCTTCACTGGACATAATACCTGCTTACATACGTATTTAGAATTAGAAGTTTCAAACCTTATCCATTCTGGAACAAGTACACATTTGCTATGAAATAAAACAGCAACTACAAATCTACAAATACTTACAACTGGAGACCACCCAGAGCCACTTTGATGTACCTAGGAAAAAAATAATTACAGAATGAATTCCTTACACCCAAGGTGCCATGTTAGCCTCTATTGGGATTGCAGTTGCCATAGTGCTTCACATGTTATCAGCTATAAAACCAGCCATTTGAGGGCTTGAAAGTTCAGTTGAAAGAACTGAAAATAAGCAACCTTGATAGTTGGCATGCCTTAAAAGTCATGCCGTCTGCGAGAAAGGCTGAAGCTTGGGTGTCATTGGACCTTCCAACAGGACAATGATCCTAAGCATACCTGAAATTTTACCAAGGCTTGGTTGCAGAAGAAGTCCTGGAAGATTCTACAGTGGCCATCACAGTCACGTGACTTGAACCCCATAGAAAATCTCTGGTGAGATTTGAAGAAGGCGGTTGCAGCAGGCAAACCCAAGGATATTAGTAAACTGGAGGCCATTGCTCATGAGGAATGGGCTAAGATTCCTTAGGAACAATACCAGTAGCTAGTGTCTGGCTTTGCATCTTGTTTGCAAAAGGTCATAACAGCAAAAGGGTGCTCTACCAAGTACTAAAGATGCTTGCCATGAAGGTGCTGAATAATTTTGAGACTGCAGAAGTAATTAGTTGCATTTTCGGTTGAATTTGGGGAAACCACTTGAAACATCCGACTGATTTAAATTGATTTTGTTCATTACAATCAATTAAAAGGAGTGTACACTTTGCCAAAAATGGAAAACGAACTTTCACTGCTTCTTCCAATCCAATCTCCACTGCTCAGGCTCTCCGCATGTGTTGGTTAGGAGCTGTTCACACCCACAGTCAAACTCAATCCAAAGATAGCTGCACACCACTGATCTTCACCAAACACACCTTTATTGTTAAAATCCAGGTGACAGCACAATATGATCACAAAAAAGACAAACACGAGGGCGCAAAACTGGATGAGCTAACTACCTGGACCGAACATTGCAGGCTAGATGACAGAAAAGAATTATAAGTGTCGAAAATGAATCAAAAACATGCAGATCTGGTCCAGACATGGTGTGAACAATCCCCTGATGCTAGAACAATGTCATGAGGTAGGCCAATGCACCTCGGTTCAAAGAACTCCTAGGAAAACTCTGGAGGACTGGTTCACACCATCTCCAGTGCATGCACTATTTTTTGTGATCGCACTGGCCTGGAATGTAGGCATTGCTGTGCTACGCATTCTGGTGCGATCGCACTGCAGGCAGGGGGGTGGGCGTGTCTGTGGTGCCATTGACTTGAATCCCCCTCCTGGCCCAGAAGACAGAGAGGCTTCCACTATGCGATCCAGTGCGTTCCGGCCACTAACCGCATCAGAACGCACTGGAGATGGTGTGAACCAGCCCTTAACGAACCCTAATTTTATCCATACAGCTGTATGTATTTATTGCAATTTATTCAGGTCTCTATTGTATTTACACATTTACTTTATACAGCAAGGTGTGTGATGATGGTGATACAAAAAGAATAGTGACATTGTCCAATATGATTTTATATTCACAAATCTAAAGACTGAAAGAACATTTTCAAATTACCTGTTCTCCTTCTAGACCCATAATCTTTGGAATAGATGGTCCACAGATATCCACATCAAGCAAAGCAATCTGCAAGAAATAAATTATGACTGAGAAATATATCCACAATTTAATAATTACTCACACATGTACATAAAGCATGGCAGCTTTTATAGCAAATTTACCCCAAGATGTAAATTATACCTAATAAAAGGGAGCCTGTCAAAACAGCACTATGGGAATGACTAAGGCTGACTTGTTTTTGAAGATGCATGCCAGGGGCTGGTATCCTAATTCCTCCTTTACTTCTTGGTGACAAGCATATGCACATCTGGTGCCAGAACATCTGATAGCTGCTTAAGTAGCAAAACAAGGATCAGGATGACAACCCCCAAAGTGTGTACCTTTTTGCCAGTCCCTGCCAATAATGGTGTTCTTGGGGTGTTGAGAGGTCTTGGGTTTGAGCCACACATGGCGTTTTCCTTGAAGGACAAAAAGCAAAATTTTTGTCTCATCTGACTACCTTCTTCCATATGTTTGAGGAGACCCCCATATTCCTTTTGCTTATTTTTTTCTGTAAGCAATGGCTTTTTGTCTAGCCACTCTTCCATTAAGGCCAGCTCTGTGTAGTGTACGGCTTAAAGTGGTCCTATGGACAGATGCCACAATCTCCGCTGTGGAGCTTTGCAGCTCCCTTAGGGTTTTCTTTGGTCTTTTTGTTGCCTCTCTGATTAATGCCCTTCTTGCCTGGTCTGTGAATTGTGGTGGGCGGCACTCTTTTGGCAGGTTTGTTGTGGGGCCATATTCTTTACATTTTTTAATAATGGATTTAATGGTGCTCTGTGGGATGTTCAAAGTTTCGGATATTTTTTTTTTTATAACCCAACCCTGATCTGTACTTCTTGGATCGGAGGGGACACAGAGCCGATGAAACACCAGCCCCCAGCAGGGAGGAGAGAAGATGGGGGGGATACAGATCAACTAATTGATAATGAGAATTGTTGACAACGATTCTCATTATCGATTGTTTCAGCCTTGAAAATAAAATAAGCATGATGTGTTCACATATTTCAAAATGACAGATTACATATTAATAAAGGTGATACAAAAAGAATCAAATAGAAATGTATTGCTTGTGTTTTCTGATGAACTTCAGATTTATTAGAAAGAAAAAAGTATGTTTCTTAAAACTGTACAAGCTTATTGTCAATATAAAAAACCCCATAAAGTTTGATTGTATTATTTGACAATAAATAATAATTGGCAGTGCGCATAATAACATGTAAAAAAATGTGAAACAATAGTATCTCTACGTGCAATTTTAAATGGTGAATACATCCAGAGATGTGCACCACTGCAGGTGCAATATCACCACCTACTGGACTGAAACACTTAGTTACACTGTAGCACATCTTATTATTTGTTGCTGCAAGTGAAATTGCAGCCATCCATCTCACCCTTTCATTACTGAGCTTTTTTTTCAGTTTCTGTTTGTAAATGACTTAAGCACTTTTTTAATTTTTGCTATGTGATTCTTCCACGGCAGTAATATACTTTCTTACTAAGTGCACCCACATATATTATTGTTTTTTAGAGGACAGATAGGGATATATATTTATATCACATATGTGTGCCTAACACCTCACTTAGTATGAATAGCATATTTAAAAAAAAAGGAAAAAATACTTTTTCCCTAGTTTTTGTAAAATAAATTCATTAATTTGCCCTTTATCTGGAAACACTGCATATCTCTAGGATTTCAGAAATGTTTCTGTACTTTTCAGCCTAAAACTAAAAGCTAAAACATTTTATTTTCATTTCTCCAAAAAACTAATAGTGGTTAGGTGGCCTACAATGTCCCTGTCATTAAGTGTCACTAACTGTAACACTTAGGGACAGCGACATACTTTGAGCAATGCTGTCATGAGGGGGTAAATTAGAAAAATTAACCCCTTGGGTGAAAAACAAATCTGCAGCTCAGCTGCAGATTTTCATTGTAAGGGGTTCATTTTTTATAATTATAGTATAAAAATATATATATATATATATATATACATATAAACGAGTTGTGTTTCTACCAAATAGCTCTATTTTGGTTTCATCTGATTTTGCCAAATTTTTAAGACTTTTTCTTATCCCCCCATCTCTGTTCCTCTTTCTCACGTTCATTTACTTACCGCTACTTCCTATATCTTAGCTACTTTGTGTAAGCACATGAAAATTGAAATCTAAACTGATGTAAGGGCACAATGACTTGGGCTTCTGGCCTAGGATCATACAAAGCAGTTTGTGTGCCATGAAACCACTCAATTTGTTTTTTACTGCCTACGTTGCTATAGAACCCAAAGTGTTTATGTGCTCTTTACAAAGGCTATTTACGTGCATACTCATCTTCATACTGCCTGTGCATTGGTGGATTGTTAAATAAAGTGAAATTGCAAGGCAATGAGTCATGTCCTGCTTCTGCTATTTCACCTGTCAAATGCAGATCGCTGGTATTTGTAACAGCTTCTTTCTTTCATTGATGAAAGAAAGAAGCTTTTACAAAAGCTAAACACATTTAATTAATGGATGCCTCAATACTGAGGTATCCATTAATGAACGGTAACCACAGAGTCTCAGCGGATTGTCAGCTCATTCTCAGCGGTCACCGGCATTTCAAAACCCTGAATAACTGCCCACATACAGTGTAAAAGTACAGAAGACAAATGTGGTCACATGGGCTTTTCACTGTAATGTCCTGTCCTGCACTGGGTAAGAGTTTATAAAACCTGAGGCATTTCCTGCAGTCCTCCAAGAAGCGGTGTATTGAACACATCCGGATATAGAATATAATGGCTTTATCCAGTATATTGTTTTCTATGATACAGCTAGGAACATCTATGGATGGACCTGGCTGTAAACAGAGCTCAGCCCTAAAACAGGATTGATGTCTGTTCTGAGGTTGTTACTACTATTTTATATATTTATCTATAAATGGGCTATAGAGGTTTTTTTACACGGAAATGTACACTGCTAAACAATGTTCAGTGAACACCTATTGAGACGTACTCGGAGCCACATAAAAAGTAGTAGAGATAGCCCAGGGATTGACACGTTATTAAATAATTGCTCTAGAATGATTAGTCCTACACACTGCAGCTGGAATCCCTGAATTCAGGAGAGTTCTAAGAGCCCCATACATAGTAAGAACTGGTCATATAACTAGCAGTATAGTAGCACCAAACACAACCTATTCCAACCATCAGTCCACCCAGAACTGATATTTATCTGGTAGCATGGTGGAGAAGTAAAACACCTGTTTATTATGTCTATATGCTAGAGTTCCCACCTCTACATAACTGCAGAAGTACTCTGCACCCATATTATAGTAGGACATGCTGAGAGTAGAAACAGAGCCGCCGCCATCCTCAGTACATAAAATAAGCCAGTGGTTAACTTGTTACAGCAGACTACAGCTGCCATTGAATCTTTTACTAGGCGAGCTGACCCTGTAACCCGTCCAAATGTGAGTCCAAATTTAAAAAAAACAATATTAGTGTCTTTGTACAGACTAGGCAGCATCCGGGTCAGAAATAGGTAAAGCTGAACTCCAGCTTTTCAATAGTTCAAGCGTGCACAAAGCATTTTGTTTTCTACAGAAACGCACCTAATGATTTACTAGAGATTTAATTATTTGGAACAAATCTATTCAAAGTAGCAGCTACTGGCAGAAAGGATGTCATCTGCCAGGTCTTATGACTGCATATCCTGACAAGCCCTAAACCTATGAAATCATGTAGACCAGCATGCAATCACTGGAAAGGGTGATATTTGGGCAGGTAAGCACCAACTGTAACATAGTTACCCGGCTGCGTTTCCAGAGTGGGATTCGGCGCCGCCCACTCCCTCGGCATCACTCCGCCCCCTCCCCAGCTGTCACAAAAAAGTTGGGAAATTTCAAATGCTCAGGGTCCTAGTAAACATTAGACACAGAGCATTTCCTCCGCCGGCTAACCACTCTCCATCCTGTTCACCTCTTGCCATTCTGCACTGTTTCCTCCTCGATGCAGCTGCCTGTTAGGATTACAGGCTATGCTCCCTCTGGCTCACGTATGCTGTACTCTTGCAGCCTTCTGTATTCCTCTCCAGTCATGCCAGTCTGCTAAATAAACCTCCCCATCTTCATCCAGCAGAACTGCAATATCTTACCCGAGCCCTGGATTGGGCCCCTGCACCTCTTATGGCTACAGTACACTTATTAGCAATCTCAAGTGATGTGTTTGTGCTTCTAGAAGTCCATCCGGATGTCACAACCAGGAGGCGCGCAGCGCAACTAATAAGTATTTGTTACTTATTCTTCATTAGCAGAGCATACCTGCATACTGACGATGTATTCTGGCGTAATTATTGTTACAGGGCTTATGTTGCCCATGTCTGAATGATGTAATACAGCTGAATAGACTTTCATTTATTTTTCTATGAATTACTTTGTACTGGGGCACGGAGAAATGATGGAGAAAGATCTGGGTGTTCTGGTAGACCATCGATTCAATAATAGTAGCAGTTTCTAAAGCAAGCAAAATACTTTCTTGTTTTAAAAGTGTGTTATGACTCCAGAGATGGAGACATAATCCTGCCTGTCCCTGTACAAAGCATTCGTAAGACCTCACCTGGAATATGCAGTTCAGTTTTGGGCACCAGTTCACAAAAAGGATGTTGGGGAACTGAGAAAGTACAGCGAAGGGTGACTAAGCTCATAAGAGGCATGGGGAGCTCAGCTATGAGGAAAGATTAACAGATTAATGGATATGAATGTGTTCTCTCTGGAGAAGAGGCATTTAAGGGGGGGACATGATCACTATGTATAAATACATAAAATGGTTCATATAGTGAACTTGGTGCCAAATTATTCACTTTAAGGTCACTGCAAAGGACAAGGGGGCACTCTTTGCTTGTGGGGGAAAAGAGGTTTAACCTTTAAATACGGAAATAATTCTTCACAGTTCGAGCTGTGAAAATGTGAACAGACTCCCCCAGGGGTTAGTTCTAGCTAGCTCAGTTAATTGTTTAGACATTAATGGCTGTGTGTTGAGCTATTTTGAGGGGAC